TTAATGTTGTTTTTAATGGGAATTTATTTTCTGGAGCATGTTATGCACCCATTTAAACATAATCCACAGTTAAGCAGCAATTTACATGGTCACATAATTGCATGATACACGGGGCCCTGCAGGTAAGGAACAAAATTGCAGGACCCAGAAACTGAAAACAGCATCCAATTTGGACAAGATATTGATTTTATAATGCTTCGTAAATGAATGAATCAAACTGGTTGCAGCCCAGCAAATCTCTTCAAAAGAGGCTTCATTTTTGTCTGCCCACAAAGCCACCATGGAGTTAAATGCTCTAATTGGAACAGGAGGAGTTTTCCCTGCTGAGTTTATAGGCTTTAACAATATCAGAATGAAACCAAGTCAATGCTGCCAACTCTTGTGAATTTATTGTGAGAAATGCCATTTTGGTCTCTGCTTAGACAGTCTCACAAGAATGGGAAAGCTGCAGGCTTCCCACAATTCTGGAGGAGTGACCAAGAGATTTTCTCACCAGGGCCGGCTCCAGGCACCAGCTTAGCAAGCAGATGCTTGGGGCGGCCACTCCAGAGAGGGGCGGCACGTCCAGCTATTCGGCGGTAATTCGGCGGAGGGTCCCTCACTCCCACTCGGAGTGAAGGACCTCCTGCCGAATTGCTGCCGAAGTGCCGCAGATCGCGATCACAGTCTTTTTTTTTTTTTTTTTTTGGGGGCTGCTTGGGGCGGCAAAAACCCTGGAGCCAGCCCTGTTTCTCACACAATGCTCAGAGTTTCCACTGCTGTGTCACAAGTACCTGTGTAATTCACTGGCAACGTGTGTGCTGTGAATCTTTGTATTTAGCTAGTCCACAGAAGACAACCACATGCTTTCTATTACTAGTTACTCTTACAGATGAAATAGAAGAGGTCTCTGGTGTGGATCTGAAGGTTTTTTTTATACAAAATTTGCAGATGATCGGGTAGGAATGAAAAAAAATTACACATAGATGTATAAAAGTTAGTGTAAAGACCCTCGAGTAATTGTTGGAATGATTTTATATCGCAAAACATTGAATGTAGAAGTTATTTTGGATATTGTGCTATTACGTATTTTAATGTTGCATTTTTATTATTTGGTTTTGCTTAATGGGAGGTTTTCCCTTTAAAACTAAGGTCTGTGTTTGAGACTAAGAGCAATGTGTGGGAGATCTTGTCTGTGTGTCAGAGAGGAGGACCCTACTTGAGGTAAGCTACAAAAAGCTCAGAACTGGATTTAACAAACATATCTTTCCATAAAACAATTTCATTCATGAAGATGTTAACATTAGCACTTATGGTGAATTAGGTAAATCTGAGCATTGCTAGTGGGCTGTGGAGCCTTCACTTGTAAGTCATCAGCTTGAACCCAGCCCAGTTTAGCAGAGAATAAAAGTTTTCCCATCTAATGGTAGCCATATATGAGAAAAATGTATTGAGTGTCAGTTTTATGTCTCATGTCACAAATTCACCACTATGCTTTACATTAGATTGTAAATTCTTCAGAGCAGAAACTGTCGTTTTATGTGTATGTATAGTGTCTAGCACAATGAAAATTGCCACACACATTGGGAGTGTGCAAGGAAATTTCAGAAATTAGGTCCCAAAACACAGTCTGATCATTAAAAAAGAAAACTCCATGATTTTTTTTGGGGGGGGGGGTCTGACTCATTATTTTTGAGCTGCCATCTTGTTATATGATTTAAGGTCCTTGCTGCTGCAGGGAGTGGGAGGACTGGACCGAGGAAACAACCAGATTTTCAGTAATGCCTACAATAGAAGGGACTTGTTCGCTGGTTTGACAGAGAGCTGATGCAGTGTACTTGGAGAGTGCTGAAGCATCCCTTGCTACGTTAGGTAACTGGGCTCCAAGATTCTCCTAGCAAGTTGTCTCCATAACAACTGCCATGAATAGGACACCACAGCAGTTTCAGAATAGGTGGATTGGATATTACACCACGTGTGGTCTCACCATGAAAGGTCTTCTATAATATATGCAATAATATAATCTAACTTGTTAACAGCAGTAAGTGCTCAGGAGCTTAGTTCCTTTCCTTTCACTGTTCAGATATTATTTTGCATGTAAGTGTCAAGAAGTGAATTCCAATATTAAGGGAGAATGTGGCAGCAAACCCTTATTGCTGGCAAAGAGGAAGCACAGCCTGCAGACATTATGCAGGGTAAACAACCGTACTATTCATTTCTTGGCCTCTCTGTTCTAGTGAAAAGGTCAGATCGATTTGTGGGCCGACACAATGCCATCATAATAGATAAGCACAAGAGTGGGTGGCTAAAAGAACGTATATGTTTATAAAATGCTCTATTCAGTAAGCCTTTTGGAGATCTGGTTTGTATGACCAGGAAATATGCCTTCTCTAATCTAGCTGCAAAATAAATTAACTTAAAACAGACTGACATTTCACTCCATATTCTTTATGGAAATATGCTTATAATATGGATATGACATAACAGAGATACTCTATGCAAGATGGGTCTTGTAAGGTATCATTGGAAAGGTTATAATTTACTGAATGTGATTATCCAATTTGTATGCCTGTATCATTTATGTATCTGAAGTTAGGAATATTGACTATGTATTTGTATTTCAACTATGCTATTTTGGGTGACACCCACTGCTAACACTTCAGGTACAACAATGAAAAAGTCAGACAGGACACATGGCCCATCAGCAAGGACAATGGACTGTGAAAAGTCCTTCCTGAGGACGCTCCATACAGCCACTGACTCATGGATGCTGTGATACTAGAGTCAGGTGGTCTTGTCACCTGATACTAAACATTACCTGGGAATTCTTGTAACTTTCCACTGGAAAGGGAGAGGTGTGTGTGTCAAGTTTGGGAAACAAAGGATTCCTGCCTTATGTAAATCCTATTTAAGGGTGGGGAGGAAGGCAAAGGGGGCTCCTCCTCTCCATGGCCTGTCTGCCCAAGAAGAAAGACTGCTAAAGCCACCTGAAGAGAAGGCGGGGCGGGATGGGGGGAGGGGAAGTCCAGACTGAGATAGGGCTCCAGTCCGAAAAGAAATATAATTGGAACTATGAACCACAGAAACTTTGCAACCTGTCTAAAATAACATTTAGGGTAAGAAATTACATTTTGTAACCCGTTTCTTAAGTATATTGAGCTTAGCTTGAAGACTTTGGTTTATTTGCTCAGTAACCTGCTTTGTTCTGTCTGTTATCTCTTATATTCACTTAAAATTCACTTTTGTAGTTAATAAACTTATTTCTTGTTTATAATGTAACCCAGTTTATGTAATTTCTAACTGGGGGGGCAAGAAGTTGTGCATATCTCCCTCCACATTGAGGGAGGGGGGCGAATTTCATAAGCCTTTGGGTTTGTACCCCTAAAAAGGAGTGGGCACCGGAGTGTTGGAGCAAGCCCCTAAGGCTGAATCTTTCCAGAGCGAATCTCTGTCTGTGCAGCTGGGTGTGGCCCTGCCTGTGTGCTTGGTTGGAAGAGGCTTCTGAGCCTAACCCAGAAAAGCCAGGTAAAGAGGACCCAGGCTGGCAGAATAGGCTGACTCAGTTGCATCCTAAGGGGGGCAACCCATCACACAGACTACAAAGCACATACAAGTTTAGGTTTTGATCAATTTGTTCTGGGAAGAATGAACTTGCACCTGTTTTCCTTTCTTCCTAATGCTGGTTGGATGTTGGCCATAGGACAACAGCATGAAACCATGTTCTATGGTATTTATGTATGAGCTATATAGAGGTGTTTAACAATTAGAAGCCATGCTGTAAATTTTCTTGCACATGTAAAGCCTGAGCCTGTGAGATAATGATAGCTCTAACCACCTACTAAAGGCAATGTGAACGGAAGGTTCTCAGCCTCTTGCAGAATCAATTTTAAAACTTGTTCTCATGACTCGTATTGAATTAATTTAATTGCTTCCTTTTAGGCTTCTATCGTCCTCTTTCAACTAAACCCATGAAAATATCCATCAAATGTACAAGAACCCGTCCCTAAAGGAAATCTTGGCTCATGGCAATGCATGCAGTCTTCCACCATTTTAAATAATGAAACCACGTGTTGCAGTCTAACAGGATTAATGTAATGTTCTGTAGAGATACTTTTCCCTTCACAAATTCCTCATTCAAGAGTCTAAAGCATATTTTATTTCAGACTGCAAAAGGTACTGCCATCTGCAAGCGCTACAAAGGGCTAGAAATTTAAGCTTTGCAAAAAGTTACTTTTTTTCCTTTCTGCATCAGTGGAAAACACAATTAAGTTGCATTGTAAAGTACTTTTTAACTTTAAAAGAGACATTATCTTCTAGTAAAAGTGACAAAAAGAATGGAGAATATTATTCTGTTCTGCCTGATGTGTATTCTGCAAGAAAAGTCTGCTTATTTGATCAAAAGACTCACACTTTATAAATATAGTATATCATACTCCATACAAATACCATAAAAGGAAAAAAAAAGGCGTAGGAAAACCAGCAACAGTAACCACAAAGATTTTTTTCAGCCAAAAAAGCATTAAGAATTTATAACTCTTAAAAACCCTAATAAAAAAGACCAACTTAAATTTAAATTAAATTAATGGAGATATCCTATCTCCTAGAACTGGAAGGGACCTTGAAAGGTCATTGAGTCCAGCCCCCGGCCTTCACTAGCAGGACCAAGTACTGATTTTGCCCCAGATCCCTAAGTGGCCCCCTGAAGGATTGAACTCACAACCCTGGGTTTAGCAGGCCAATGCTCAAACCAGTGAGCTATCCCTCCCCCCTTATTAGAATAGTAAATTACACTAATGTTACCTTTATGAAACTGCTTATCAAACTAAGTCAAGCCATATGGCTGATTAAGTCAAAATGGGACCTTAGAGCAATTTAGTCATTTTTAATTTTATTGTATTGGGACTTATTTTTTTAAAGAATATTTAAGATCTGGAACTAAGTCTTATTTTATGCAATAGCTAGTCCTCACTTCCTACAACATATGAAAAAACAATAACGCAAATATTCATGTGTTTCCTTACCCAGTATGTCCAACTGCCGAAGATGAGTACAGTTAGCGGCAAGTTCTTCAATGTCCGTGTCACACACAGACCTGTTGGCTGTAAGAAAGAGCTTTTGCAAGTTTGGGAGCTTACGCGCAAGGCTTGTGAAGCAGCCAGTACTGCTTTGTAGCGTAGGGCACCAGCCAAGATCAAGCTCCTCCAAGAGCTGACATCCCGAAGCGAGTTCTGCTATTCCATTTTCAGTAATGTTTTTACATCTCCACAAATCCAGAGTACGCAGTTTTTTGCACTTTGCTCCCATCATACTCGCTATCAGGTCATAGTCTTCAATCTGTGAAGAGAACAAGCACTATTTCTTATATATCGTTATTCCCAGTTAGACCCAAGCAGCTTTGTTTGCTAATACATCTATTGATCTGTCTTCAGTGTTTTTCATTTCTAAGGAATTTGGAGAGGAGTTCATTACCACATTGGACAGGTCTCATTCTGCTTTTTAAAAAAAGACAACAGCAAGGTAAATTTCCCATCAGTTTTTAAACTTTTGTTTTTAAATTTACACACTGAATAAGAAAGACCAATTAAAATCTATAACTAAAACTGATTTTCTTCCCAACATTCCTTTTTGCACTGCTAATGCAATGTTTGTAAGAGCCTTCTCCCCCCCCCCCAAAGGGTAATTAAGTTTCATTGACAGTGGTGTGCCCTACTTATATAAAGGGGCAATTGGAGGGATAACAACAGAGCTATTGGTGGTTTAACGGCACTTAATAAAATAAACAGTACACATATATCTGCATATGGACAGAAGAATAAGTCTCATCCCTTTTCAAGGTTGAACAAGGGCTGAACCTGGATTTAGCCTTCAGGGAAGCACTGCCAGTCCCCACTGTGGAAGTTAGGGAGAATGAAGAAGTGACCCACTGTATGGGCAGTATAACCCACTATCAAAGGAGTGATAAGAAGTCTAGACTCTTGGAAGAGCTAGTTGGTACTGCTGAGCCAACTGGGGGAGGTCTATCCAGCTCTTCCTTTGTCTTTTGCTTCCTGATTAGGTAGAGAAGCCCATCAAGTCGCATATTAAGTACTCTGCTGTATTTATAGCCACAGAGAGCTGCAAAATAAGCCCCCCTCTATGTCTGCCTCTTGCATGCAGGTACAACATAGTTTAGGAAGGGCTCTTCATTAGCAATTCCAATTTTTTATTTTTTTAAAAAGTAACAAAAAGCCCATAGCCCTGGGAAGCCTATGACTAAAAATATCTCCATAAAACTAATTCATTCTGCATACACAGAGATTTATTACTGTTGGGGTTGTTCATGAGTGCCAGGCTTCCAATAATGAATATTTGTTTTAAATAAAAATGAACAATCATTAGTTTTGGAAGCAAAAGAACACTAAACATATAAAGAACTGCATTCACTTTACAAACAGTCAGGGGCAAGGAGATGGTGAGCTAAATTTTAGGCCTACAAAACTGGCCAGTGTTCCTTTAAACACACACACATTCATTTTTGCCCTATAAAAATAGAGGATAATGTTAGATAAGCAAATGAAGTAAACTATCTTTTAATACTTTTGTAAACAAAGAAAAGTAAGTTCAGTCTCAGTCATCTCTCTCCCTCACAAACACGACTTCAATTACTTACCATGACACAGCTACCAAGGCTGAGGTGCTGAAGCTCTGAACAGAAGTTCAGAATGCTGAGCAGTGCTGTTTGCTGCCATTGGGGACCACATCAGAGGCAAATATGGAAAGTGAATCAAAGAGAAGAGGTCAATTAGACATTAAAGGCTGTCACCACTTTCCCTGAAATACAGCTCAAAACCTAGGTTACAGACACCACAAATGCCATTTAATGAGTCCCTAAGCGCGCTAACCATTGATTGGCTTAGAGTCAAGGTAATCATTACAAGCCTTTATGTAAGTCACTTTGGATGAGATTTTGCATGCCCTAAAGATACCTATATTCCCATGACCTATCAGTTCATTTCCCACAGGAGAGCTGTTGGAAAGTGTGGTAAGTTCAAACAACAAGCAAGGCCAAACCAAAAGCACTAGGGACAGGTGACATCCCAGAAGAACAGCAGCATCTCTGACATTCACTGATCAGCTACAGCCTGATGGACCTGCCAATAGAGTCACACAGCATCAGGATTGAACTGGGGACTTTAATGTCAAAGGATTCTCTTTGCTGACAAGGGTACTGACAACCATTGAGCACCTGTCACTAGCAACATGCAGACTGAAATGAATATAACGTTTACTTTACAGTCATGTTTCTGCCATTTTAACACGGCCATTCTGTTCAGAATACTGCCACACAACTAAAAGAATCTGAAACTATATTAGAATCAGGTGCACCTTGCAGAATGTTTATATGCTTAAATATTCAGTTTTATTTCCATACGACAAGGTGAGGCTACGTGTTTTCATGAAAATTTCTGCTTCTAAAAAAAACACACCACTTTACTACACTATATTGCACTGTATTGCCTTATTTTGTTCTGGAGTTTTGAAATATACTCCAACTGAAGGGCAAAAGAAACCAAAATTGTCATACATTTGTGGATAAACAGAACTACAAATAAATGTGAGCTACATTTAAAACATTTTAATCACCTTTTAAAGATATGACAATTTGTATGCCGTAATCTCTGAAACCTATGAGAGTTCATAAACAGGAATAAATATCACAACATATTGACAACATAATATTTGGAAATCTACAGTATTTGTAGTAGTTCTTCACTGAGGAAAATAAAACAAGTGGAATATAAAAGACAAAACAACTTGTTAATAAGTAGAAGGGCTAAAGGAGAACTGGTCTACCATCTGTGTATGTATATTAGTAATTTATATAAAATCAGTCTAATTTATTTTCTGTACTAAACTTTTAGAAGAAAAATGTCTGGGTTCTTGTCCATCTTTCCTCCCAGTTAAGTGTTAGGGCTTAGGAAGGGATATGTGCATCCTGGAGATGAATGAACGGCTGCACAGATGGTGTCGATGGGAAAGCATCAGAAGCCTCAATTATGGGATACTGTTCTGGGAAGGTGGTCTGCTGGGAAGAGATGGGGCCTACCTGACCAAGAAGGGGAAGAACATCTTAACGCACCAACTCACCAACCTAGTGAGGACAGCTTTAAACTAGGTTCAATGGGGGCGGGTGAGTAAGTATAAACAAAAGACAACTTTAAAAGAGGGTTAGATGTTGGGCAGGGGCAGGGGACATGGAAAATAGGGTCATAGGAACAACAAGATGGAAATCAGTGATGGAATCTGCTCAACTTCTTACATATCTACATACAAATGCAAGGAGTATGGGTAATAAACAGGAAGAACTGGAAGTATTAGTTCATAAACTAAATTATGACAACTGGCATCACTGAGACTTGGTGTATACACACACACACACACACACACACTTGTTCTGAGGTCCAGAAGGAGCAGACCAGGTGAGAGTTTCTAGGTAAAGATAAAAGGAATAAAAAAAATATGGGTAACCTCATGGTAGGGGTCTACTATTGACTACTAAATCAGACTAATGAAAATAACTATTTAAAAAAGGACCTCTGAGCAGATGTAATAGCATCTAAAAAGGCAATCTTCGTAGACAGGTGGGAGGAGATGATCTGCCCAAATGTAGAAAATTCAAAATCAAAAGATTCTTTTGGAGTTGGATCATTTTCCAGAAAATCACAGAGTTGGTCTTCCACCTCTCAGGAAAGGCAGCAATGGCCTCCTCTTAATGTGCAATCTCTCGGCTGGAATCTGGAGGAACAGCAGCTTCAAAGGGAACATCTGCTGAGATAAGGTAGATGATTCTCTCAATGGAAGGAGGAACTTATTCCCTTGTCTCAAGTCTCAGTGACAGCTTTGTCTCCATGCTCTCCAAAGGACTTACCAACAAAACATTCAGAAAGATAAGATGTCAGTCTGCAATTCCAATTTCTTCAAGGATATCCCAGCAAGTCTTTTGACGTTTTGAATGTATAGTAAATCAGAGTCAGGTGATGCATCAGTCCTCAGAAACCTCCTAGGGAAATCTAGTGTAAGGTAGGTTTGATGTAGTAGGGTTTTTTTGGTGTGTATGCATGCACGTGCATGCTCACAATGGCCTCCCAGTTGAGCATAGATATGCACAGAGACTGCAGCCAATATTCTCAGGGCTAAAGCTGCTATATACAAATTCAGTCTGAGTGAAAACCTTATTCTTCTGTATGGTGGTTTGGCAGGAAAGCCTCCCTCAGCTGGTACGACTATGCCCTCTACTAAGGAGGCTTAGCCTTATGCAGATTAATGAAGGCCTTTTAGTCCTACCTTAAGTATAAGTAAAACTTGATAGAGAATTCCCACTCCACCTTAATCAAACTGTCATTAACTACCTGAGGAATTACTCAGCATTTCTTCAACTCTTTAGGTAGGGAAGGGGTTTGTGTTTTGTTTTTTAGTGATTCGTTTAGTAAAAGCATAAGCACCTGTGAAGTAAGACCCTTTTCCCTTAAGTTTATTTCTGGAAAGCTTGGTTTAACAGTGTCAAAAGTACAGCTTTAGAGATTTCTTCTTCTCTTTAGAGTAGAAGGGAGATTCTCATGAGGGATTTTAAAATTAGCACTGTTTCTTTAAGAGCTGATTGTGAGCAACAGCCTTCACCAGTACCTGGGCCAAACCCTGAGAGAAGTGGGGAGGGGACCTGTGTGAGGGAGAGTTGAAAGGACAGTCTGCCGACACATTTCCTGAATGTCTTCCTAAGGAAAACAGTAACAACTTTATGAGCTCCTGTGGGGATCACTGGAAACTGGAAAGGGAGAGGAGACAGGCGTTTCAAGGGACGTTTAGGTTGGACATTAGGAAAAACTGCTTAACTGTCAGAGTGGTTAAACACTGGAATAAATTACCTAGGGAGGTCGTGGAGTCTCCATCATTGGAGATTTTTTAAAGAGCAGGTTAGACAAACACCGGCCAGAAATGGTCTAGATAACACTTAGTCCTGCCACAAGTGCAGGGGACTGGACTAGATGACCTCTCGAGGTCCCTTCCAGTCCTATGATTCTCCCAGGGAAGGTGATCCCTGCCGCTTGGTCTGAGCTGAGTAGGGACTGACTGCTGAGAACAAGGACAGAGCTGGAGCAACTGAAGACAAAATAACTCACTAGTATAAGAAAGGTCACAAGAGCTGGCACCTTTCAGGGCATCTGAAATATTTCAGGTAAAATAGCTTGTGGGAGGAGGGATGTTTCTCAGCCATCTCAGCATGTACCATGCCTATGTGCTGGCTGGGAGCAAGAATTTCATCCTCTGGGTTGCTACGGGGCTCTGTGACAATTTGTACGCCATATTAGTTAATAAACCTGTTTATATTTTCTCTTAACCGGTGTGGTGTTGAGTGAAGTGTTTGGGAAAAATCTCAGCTCAGTTAAAGGTTTTGTGCATATTCCTCTCCACGACACGCCGGGTGGGGGTGGGAGCGGAGACTGGGTGACTGTAATAATCTTTACTGGTCAGGCTTTTGACCAGGGCAGGACGATACAGCTCCGGGGGTCCATAGCTGGGGGGTATTTTGGTTGAAGTCTCTCTATTGTTGGTTCATGCAGTGGCTGTCCAGAGCATTCATGAACACAGCTGGGTGTGGTCCCTACCCATGCATGTTGGTGTAAGTGCAAGCTTGCAGGACTCTGCAGCTTGTCACAATGTCACAGTGCGAGAGGGAACCCAGTTTGTTAAGACAGAGGGCTCAGCTGTACCCCAGTTCCAAGTTGCGACCCGGGGGGGGGGGGGAGGGGAGAGGACAGTCACAGGTCTTTCCCTGAGATTCTGTCCTAAGATTCAGAAGACTCCAGTGAAATTTTCCTTCCTGGTTTTACAAGCTGTGAGAATAGGAGTCCCATAACTATGGAGTGGGAGCTTAAAAAAACAACCCTTACCTTCAATTGAATGCCCCCGATTCTGGCCAGGTCTCAGTGAAAGGAGCTCCTATGCAAGCTGCTCAACTATCTCAGCATGAATCTCACCCACACACCAGCACAAGCCAGGCTTTCCTGTAGCCTGCTCCACTTTCTCAACCTTGACCCTGCCCATATGCTGATTGGGAGCTGGCTTGCTGTCTGCCATTTCTGAAGGGGGTGAGGAAAAGAGGTGCCGTCCTTCAGACCCTCCTCAGAAAGCCAAAAGATGATTTTTTTTTCTTTTTAGTTTAGCAGCTTTGAGGAGATAAACTTCAAAGGCAATGAAGAAACGTAGACATTTAGTTGACCATTTTGTGAAAGCTCTGCTACAAGGGAAGACATGGAGTCTGCCATGTGTGCTGCTTGGAGGCACAGAATACTGAAGTATTCTTTCTGAGTGGTGATCCTAAGCCCAGGCTCAGAGCAAAGATCTCTATAGCAAATGGGGCAGATAAAATGGGGAATGCCCCTACTGTGAAAATGTGACATGGAGGGGACTGAGAAAATTCTGTTCAAGAGAGAAGCACTGGCCTATCTTATAAGGCATTCTAACCTCTACTCCTTATTGCAAATGTATGTAATTTCTGCCATACTACTGCAGAGAAGCAATAAATCAAATTCCAGCAAAGCTCACCAAATCACACTGTTAAGAGCATTAATTCAGTTTTTTTTGGACATCTAGAAGTATCTTGCTGAATAGCAACAGCTTTCCTTTTCCTATGTCAAGTTCAGCTCTCAGATGAGCAGTCTGTGATGGCAGCAAGCTTCTGGC